TGTTAATTGAAGAGAAACATTATATTTTCACGTTCAATATTCAATATCCACAAAAAACTATTAGGTCTAATTCACAATTTTTGATGGTTATGATTAAAAGTAAACAATTGTGCAACAATGTAGAAAAAAACCATTCGACATATTAGAATTTATGTCATTTGGAAAACTGAAAACGAAATTGCAAAACTCAGATGAAGCAATTCATAAAATGGAACACACCAATTTCGATGAGAACAGCACCTAATTGATAATCAGTTCTGGCCGGAATTGGTGCATTTCTTGAAATCCATGACAAGCTTTCAACAAACCGGTGTGTTCTTTGGGCCTCAGCTTAATCTAATGTAAAACACCGTCGTCAGCAATGTAAGTAAATGATTCAAAAGTAAACGCTGCTTACCAAACTCAAAAGATCAAATAGACAGGAACGGTCCATGGTAATGATAAAAATAAATTCACGGACATGTGGAAGTGACTCAATTGGATGGACTAATGTGCATCAAGTAATTTCATCGATAACTGAGGATGCTGGCTTGATAAAATATGATGCCACCCGTGCTAGATCCTTTAAACAGATAAGTGCATAATTGCGAATATTAATTATGAATTTCAAATAAAAACTCACTCACCAGAATTGATGCTTCATTAATAAACTTCATTGGTAACTACTACGATGTTGTCATTGTGAAACCATCCGCCTGATAAATTCAACCTGAACAAAAACTAATATATTAGCAATGAGTGTTATAGTACAAATTACAAAATCATGGTTTAATGGTGAAATGTAAAATAAGGCAATACTAACCGTCAATGATGATAGGTAAATTAACTGAATTGGATTGGGGAATAAATCGCATTGGTCACACACTGTTCATCATAGCCTAATCAATTTTTCGATATTTTCACAAGAATAAATTCACTATAACTTAAAAATAATGAATGCAATAAATGCCAACTGTGAAAATTATGCATATTATTTACAGATAATTCACATGGGCTAATGGACAGAAACATACATGAATACATACATAATTGAACATTTTCTGATGCAAAAAAAAAACATTCCAAATACATGGAAGAGTTATCGAGTATTTATCGAAAGTAAACAAAAACAGTCTAAATGCGATAAATGGACAAAATGAAACTTTGGATTAGCAAGACAAAAAACACTCATAAAGGAAATGAGATTGGTTTAATGGAATAAAAAAAGACATTGGAAAAAGTGTCAATATAATGATAGAAACCGCTATAAGTGAACATTGTCAGTGGAACTTATTTTTCCAAAGGATATTTTAACTTACATCTAGTCGTGCTTACAAGTGTGGACTACAAATTAGTACTAAATAATTGCCCAAATAACAAAGCGTACACATGCATATAAACAAAGATAATATAAATTATTTCGAATAGAATTAATAATTGAAAAGAAAGTAAAATTTTGATCAGTTTGTTGAATTTGAAATGAATAGTGCAATGACGTAAATAGTTGTGAAAATGTATTGGAAAGCAATTGAAGAGAAAAAGTCAACAATTATTTTGTTTTAAAAGAAAATTGTCATGTTAAGTACGTATCAATTAATTTAAAAATTTTTGAGAAAGGAAAATAACAATTTGTATTAAATCATATAATTGTGTTTGATTTTATTATAAAACTCCAAGAAACAGTTTCTGAGGAACACTGATTGGGAACCAAATAGCTAGTGTTTAGTGTCATTATTAGAACATGAATGAATA